AATCAACACCAACCCTGATAGTGACACAAATCTCTTAGGATGGTCATTCAAAAAGCATGCTTTTAATATCATTTATTCAATAATGGATATAAATATAGTTCAAAAACTGGCTCGTTGAATGACATTTACAACTTGCTCAACCAACCACCAAAATGAAATTCTCAATTGCCGTACTGTCATCAATCCTTGCTGTCTGTTCGGTCACAGTTGCCAATCCAGTTGATCACAGTTCGACCATGAGTGCTAAAGTCAGCACTGCGACAGTTCCTCCCAGTGCAACTGAAACTGCAAGTGCTAAAGCTAGCAACTTGAACACTTTTACTAGGTTTGATTATCCGAAAAAATTAAAATCATATAATGAGTTTGGCAAGTATTGCTATTCAATTGGCTTGGAGGGAGTATTCATGATCGAAGAACACGCAACACTTTCAGTTAAAATCGACAAAATAGAGAAAGATGTTCACAATCTAGATGCTCGGATCAAGGCTCAAAAAAACTTGCTGTATAATCTGGAGCAAGATTTTGACTTTTTAAATAGAGCCTCGGGTCAAGGATCAGTAGACCTCGACCTTGAAACTAATATTAGAACCCAGCGTGAGTTTCTTGATGAACTCCAAGAGATTCTCCAAAAAATTCTTGATGGATATCGGATTAGGCTTAAAAAAGATTCTGAGCAAGAATTGGAGCTTAAACATTACTTTGAGCATCACCATAAGTTTGAGGTGACAGATTCTGACGATAATATAAACCTGGAATCGTATCACTCGTACAAGAGTTGTTTTGACTTTTTCTACAGTTACTTTTCAAGTGTATTTTTACGATTTGAGCAGGATGCTCAGCAGCAAGCTTTACAACCATAGACCTGTCACGATGTTGGAGTTGAGTGAACCATCACAGTTCCATCCAGTATATGTTGTAATGCAGCGTGTATTGCATGTTGGTTTAATTGTCATGTGTCATGCATTCAATGTCATTCATTTAATAAACATCGTGTATTGTCAAACAATAGTGTATTATAGTAATGGTTTGATCATATTGCACCAATCAACTACTATGTGCTGGCATGACTGATCATTCGGTGTGCTACACATATTGAATGCATGCAATCCATGACTGTCAATACTTGTTGTTGAAATGGGTTCAGATCACCATCAGTTTGTTCACTCGTTGCACCAATGTGATTGCATGATCAATCTGACACCAACCAAACCACACTCGAATATATATGTTCCAGTCATGTGCATGGTGTATCGATTGTCAACTCACAATGTCAACTCCAACACATTCCATCATGATTATGGTCACATCACACCATGCTGATGTATGTCGATCGTATCACATTGAAACCAGTTATCATCCAATGACTGCAATGCAATACCGTGCATGTATTGTGACTGATACGTTGTGCACCATCAGCAAGTGTGCAACTGTCACTCGATATATCGAGTCTGATATGCAACAACATGCTGTGTTTACCATGATCAGGTTTTTGATCAATCTTGGACTCATGATACATGATTTGCCATGTTGGATCGTGTGGATGTGTCATGGACTGCAATTTAGTTGCAGACACACACATGTTGGACATTGACTGATGCATACTGTGCAACGACTGATCAGTGCGAGTGTGATTGCACACTTGGTGGTATTGTGCATTATGGTTGTTTGACAATGGATGAATGCTGGATTAGTCGGTTATATGCAACCCATTTGAATCGACCTATTTGGACAATCACTCGATGTAACTGATAACAATGTGTATACATGGCTGTTGGATCAGTCGAGT